TAAAATATTATTGTTACAAATGAGCTATTTATCGTATAATTACGTATTTGCCTTCTTTCCATCAAATAACAATAATAATATATCATAACTGTTCTCGAACTTATTCGTCTCCAAATTTACACATAAGTTGAAAAACATTTTTTACAAACAAGAAGTATCTAACGAATTACAGTGAATATTAAGGGTGTGGGTGTAGGTTTTAAGTCTTCTTCTCTTCCACATCCACACTCTTATTTGAGATACGTAAATCGAAAATCAAAATTTTATCGACGGTCGACTTGTTTGGTGGTATCACGAACTCTCTCTTAACAGACTCGGATCATAAAAATAAGTGTTATTATTCGCTAGATTGCGCCGCTGTTCATAGATTGCATTTTATTCTAGTATATTTTAACTACATATGTGTATATGCCACCAATAATGTTTTTAGGTGTGACAATTGCCCCAATTGCCTCGTGGTGACCCGTCCACACCCACACCCTGCCTGGAGATGGTAAATGTATCTTGTCGAAAGCTTGAATAAACTAATGATTTTTACGTAAAATCTAATACGATATTCGTAGCAGTTTTATACTCTCTATTTCCTAAAACATTCACACATGTATAAAATCTTGTTCATGTTCATGTGAACCAGCAATTAATTCTCTATCGGATACTCATTGTTCAAGATCATCAATTTTTCTATGAAGACGAAAAAGTTTTAATGTTTCATGTAAATATTATCGTCTTTTAACAGATAAATCTTTCACATTAGCATATAATTTATCTAATTGTATTTACCGTTTATTAATTAAATCTCATGATAAACTTGATTGTACTAAATCTTGTATTAAACTTTTTGCTTTTATCATTTAATTCTTGTAATGTATTACTATAATTTTCAATAGTTTGTTCCATTATTTGTTGTTTACGTACAAATGTTTGTGTTGATAATTCATCTTTGTCACATTCTTCACTCATCATATATAATTTTTGTCCACTAAACCAAGCTTCAGCTTCATTTAAATCATAATAATATTGGTAAATATTTTCTAATAATTCTATATGCTTTCGTCGTTGTTTAATTGTTTCTTTTAATTGAATATAATTATCAGATAATTGTTGTAAACGTTCTTGAAATTTTTCGGTACGTGAGGAATAATCTTGACTTATACGTATACATTCATTTTGTACATATTCTAAAAGACCTTGTTTATGCTTTTCAATTTCTTTTAACCATGATTCATTTTTTCGTTTTAATAATTGTATATTAATTAATGTTTGTTGTTTATCATGATAAATTAAATCCGGATAGATATCTAATAAATGACGTTTTTCACTTAACCATATTTGTTCATCTTCAATATCACGTAAATATTCACGAGAATGTTTTTTGTTCTAATAGTTGAAGAAGTTTACAAAAATTTTTCTTCAATTCGTAAAAGTTTCGAATCCATTTCTTCGAATTTTTCAGGTTCTAATTGTTTTAATTATTCAGTTTGAACACGTAATTCATTGACTTGTTGTTTGTTTAAGTAATAAAAGATTTATTTCAATTAAATTATTGTCTAATAGTTCAAGTGTTGTTGTCGATAAAGCTTGATTAGATGGTGTTGCGGTGAGTTCACTAGCATATAAATGTTTTTCAATATTAAACATAAATTCATCAAGGTTTGTAATTGATTGTTGAAATAATTTCGAAAGATTAGTATCAAATAAATGATCACCTTTCTTTCCGAGTAATATTTTCTAATTTAATCCATAAATCATCTAATTCATTGATACTTTGATCAATTAGATTTGAATCAATAAGTTGACAATTTTTAGATTTTAATTGTTCAGCAAGTTGTTTTAACACAACTAGACGTTCTTTATTAGAAAGAATTTCACTATGAAATGCATGATGGCGAAGATATTTTGTATGAATATTTGCTGTATCACGATAGATATCAGTTTGTGCTTGTAAAAATTTCATATCAAGCCATTTTGTAAGATCCTCACAATCTTAGATAAATTGAAAATATTTAAGAGATTCTTGAAGTTTATCATGTATTTCAAGTGCAGATTGACGATTAACAGCATAACGATCGTTAATCACAGATGCATAAGATAGAATAAGATCGTCTAGAAATACAAATCGAATTAAATATTTTAAATTATACGAACTACTTAATTGTCATTCGCATAAACTGTTGTCTATTTATGTTTGTAATATGCGCATCTCTAGCAAGAATTTTAGAAATGAACCAAGCAAATATAAATAGTTCTGCTTAAATCGTTTATCATAAACAAGAAATAGTTAGAAAAGTATTTATGAGTGTCTCGTCTCTCGAATCTATTCTTTAAGAGAAAACTCTTTGTATGACCAGCATCTAATGAATTTATATTTCAAAAATATTAGATTTGTGTCACTTCATCTCTGAAAAAGAAAGTGTATGTTAGACAGATAAAACTATAAGTAAACAAATAGTTTTGTTCACTGGTAATCAGCGAAATCTTTACGAAATATAAATGTCAACATAAATTATTTGTCTGTGAGTAAAATGTACCTAAATAATGATTTTCTTGACATAAACATTGAGCAAATGAATAAATTTCTTGTATTTTATCTTCATTTGCTGACATTTCTGTAACAAAATCTTCATTTCTTTTCTAATGAAAGCTTTAATATCATCAAAAGATTTTGATTTTTGTTCACATTCACGTGCTAAATAAGCTTCTTAATAATATAATAAAATTTCTACTTGATTAGAATCTCTAGCAAACATTTGATATTGCATTGCTTCTGTTAATATATTCTTTTTCTGATGCCACATTTGATCAAGCTCATTTCAACCATTATCAAGTGCTTTTAAACGTTCACGTAAAAATATATATTAAGAATTTGTTGTATCAGCATCACGTATAACACGATGACCATATTCTTTCATTTGAGTATAATCTGGATCATAACGATCAATTTCTTCTTTTATCGTTTGATGTTGAGTTAATAATTGTTCAGCTTCATTTAAAGTATTTAGTATATCTTCGCCGACAATTAATGTTTTCGTACGTGTTAACCATGCAGAAAAATGATTAAGATCACCAAGAAATTTCTATGATTCAGTTGCTTCACCCATTGATTATTTTCAATGACGACGTAAAATTTCATTTAATCCATATCAAACTGAATTAATTTGATCAACTTGAGGGTGTACGTGTGCGTGTGTGTGCGGGTGTTAGTCTTCTCTAAGTCCACCCTCACACACCCACATCTATCCTCCCTAGTCGCGCGTGCGCGTACGAGTGAAAATGAGTCTAGAAAAGTCGGGAAGTGAACAGGGATCAAAACCAATTTATTGAGCAAGTAAACGAAAAAAGTAATAAATTACATTTTCTTTCGAATTTTTTCAAATGTTTCCTTATATTCCAAAAGATGAGGATGAGTTGAAGGTAATTTTTCTTGAGCTATTTCAACTGCTTGTTGAACATTTTTCATTGCCATACTATATTTTCGTGTAGCCAAATATAATTTTGCCATATTATGATATACAACAGCTAAATCAGGATGATTTTTTGGTAATTTCTTCTCACGTATTTCTAATCCTTTTTGATAATATGTCAATGCCGTTGAATAATCTTTCATTTCACGATAAATTTCACCTAAATTTATATATGTCGTTGCACATTCCAGAGGATTACATTGAACATTTTCTTGAATATTTAATGCTTTTTGATGAAATGCAAGTGTCTCTTCATAATTACCCATTAATCGATGAACATCACCAATATTACTGTATGTTAAAGCTAGATATGGATGATTATCACGTAAGGCTTTTTTCCATATTGCGAGACACTTTTCGAAATTATCAAGTGCTTTTGGGTAATCTTTCATACTGCGATAAATTTTTCCGAACCAGTTATATGGAAAAGCCAAATCAGGATGATTCTCAGACAGGACTTGTTTTGTAATTTCAAAGTCCTTTTTAGAATATGCAAGTGCTTTCGAGTAGTCACCCATGTTGAAATACACTTGACCGATGTTGTTGTAGGAAATAGCCAAATCGGGATGATTTGGAGGCAGAGCTTTTTCTTTTATTTTATGTGATTTTTCGTAAAATTCAAGTGCTTTCGAGTAGTCACCCATGTTGTTATACACTTGACCAACGTTGTTGTAAGAAATAGCCAAATCGGGATGAGTAGAAGGTAGAGCTTTTTCTTTTATTTGATGTGCTTTTTCGTAAAATTCAAGTGCTTTCGAGTAGTCACCCGTGTTGTTATACACGAGACCGATGTTATTGTAGGAAGTAGCCAATGAGGGATGATTTGGAAGCAGAGCTTTGTCGAAGATTTTATGTGCTTTTTCGTAAAATTCAAGTGCTTTCGAGTAGTCACCCATGTTGTTATACACTCCACCGATATTGTTGTAGGACAGAGCCAAATCGGGATGATTCGGAGGCAGAACTTTTTCGAAGATTTGATGTGCTTTTTCGTAAAACTCAAGTGCTTTCGAGTAGTCACCCATGTTGTCATACACTTGACCGATGTTGTTGTAGGACAGAGCCAATGAAAGATGATCTTCTGGAAGAGTTTTTGGTTTAATTTTGAGTGACATTTCATAAAATGAAGCTGCTTCTGTGTATTCTCCTCTGTCTTTTTTCACACATGCAAGCTGGTGATAGATATGTGCTCTATCACTGTCGTTAGAAGCCCGTTCTAGTACTGCCATGTACAATTCTTCGGCCTTGTTGAATTGACCTATTTGGAGCAGCAATTTACCCATTCGATACCATCCAGTGCTACCTGAAGATTCTTCTCGTATGTGATTGGCTAATTGACGAAGTTGCTGGTCATCATCAGACGTAAGTTTAAGATCTACTTCATAAAGTGGACTTTTTTTATCAATTTTTTGGACTTCACCAATTCGAAAGACGGTGTGCATCGAGAAGAGAATTTCCTCTTCTTGCGCGAAATCACTAACCTCCTTGATGGAAGCAAAGGGTGTTGATGATACCGTGGGATCGATAGTCATTTGAAAGAGAATACCGACCATATCGTTTGCTTCTGAGTTGCTTTCGGCAAAAGCGAAGGAGACATCACGATCTGTACTAGTGGATAAAAAATTATTAAACGATATGAGACCACCTTTGTTTTTTGCGAGTTTCTCGAAATCGTCTATCGATAAGCCTTGGCCCCTATAAACTAAAAAGGACTCCCCATGATACTGACTGACCTGTTTGCTGTGTGAATCTTCAATTTGTCGATGAACATCACATAGATAAAATCCCATTCTAATGATTAGGTCACCGTCGAGTGTTCGTAATGCACGATTGAGCATTTTGATGGTGAAACATTGGCGTGTATACCACCATAAGGCCAATGTTGGATGATAATTACGTTGAAATTCGTCGATTAACTTCAGTTCGTTAGTATTGCCTTGGTATTGTTCTTGGCAGAAGGCGACCAAATCTTTGATAGCTTGTTGATCATGTTTCATATCAAGGAGTATTTCCTTAAATATCTGGGTATACATGAATGATGGTTCTAGCTGATTAAGATTTTGACTAGAACCATCTGCATCAGCACTAATTATATTGACCATTATATTGTTTTGATTATATTGTTTGATAGCTATTTGCAACATTTTGCATATAGACTCGATTGATTCGTTGATACCTTTAATTTTTGTCCAATATTTAGCCCATTCTTCATGAAGTTTCTTATTGTGAGAAAAAATATATATAGTATCAAGATTTTGCATTCCATGAATAGTTGGTACAAGAACTTGTCTAAGTTTACCAGAGGAGATAAAGAAAGATGTCTCCTCCTTGTTTTCATCGAGTAGTCTGATGCATTCGTCTGCTGTAATGCACAATTTGACTTCATTAACAACACCTCGTAATTGCGACAGTGTATGTTGACAATCTTCATTTTTCATATTGATATTCGCATCAATCCATATGACTAAATAGTTTTCAGTCATACGTTGTCGTCGTTGTCGATTCATTTTCAATGTAGTAGTGAATAATGTGTATGAACAGAATTTACCTTTCGTATTTATATATTCGATGTATTTTGTTTTTTTTCTAGATTTTTCTACGACGTGAAATGTTAATATTTCATTTTTTCGTCGATACTCAATCAAAGGTATGCTTGTCAAAAAACAAATTAAAGGGGGAAAACCCATCAACGTCATTGGTGGCGTGATTAATTTTTACCATTTGCATTTACGTTTCATGTGAAGCATGGCATAAATTTCATTTTATTGATATCTTTTCTCATACGTTGTATATTTCGATTCTTTCAAAACGAAGCTTTTTTCTCTTGTTGAGAAGAACGAAGAAAACCAAGGACATCGTCTGTGTATTTTTTTTCTCATTATGCATGCGGTTGACATGCTAATAATGTGAATCAAACAAGAATAAACATCATTTTAGTTTTTATATAGACAAAAGTCAAACAACGATATCTAGTTGCCGAATATACTAAATCACTGACATCTAATTAAAGTAATTCTTTTATTCATATTCATTCGAAAAAAAACAATATAATAAAATGATATTTCGTTTTCTTATTTTCCAATAATTGTCTCTCTTTCATTAATTTCTAAGATTCATAAAGAAATAATATTCAACTTGTGTTTATTCACACAATTTTAACATATGCTACAATGGTAACAGGAAAACTTCTCCTATCCAAACATGTATCACTAGAACTATGTGCATTATAAATGTATATCAATTGAAGCTATAGTACAAAACATGTTTTAATTGAAAACTATTTGTGCTTGTATGATTGTAAAACAGAGTCATACATGCTCGTATACAATCAAGAAATAATGAAAAGAGTTGCTGGTATTTTTCTGATTAAAATCGGTAGGAGTATGGAAGACATGAAGACTATTTTTCTTGATTTAAAATTGAGAAAAAAACCATTGTTATTGTATTGTATGCTTGATACCTTTTTTCAAATGCAAAACTGTCTTCCTCAAATAAAAAGCGTGAGCTGGAAGGTTGAGTTCATGATTCTTTTGAGTTTCTGCTGAAGATGCAACCGATTCAGAAAAGATCAATCAACAAAGAAAAAGTCACAAAATTATTTTTATTATTGTTGTCGTTGTTTTTTTTCTTTCGTTCGTGCCTGTACGATGAATAAAAATATGACGATAAAATATGTAAATAAAAGACTATTGAAGAACCGTAATATTACATTTTTTTTACTCTCCTTTTAGACTCAATTGCATTATATTCATTTCATTTCTCTACATGATCATGGATTCATATGCAATTAATATCATGAAAATCTATCTATAGGTTGTATATGCTTAGCATAATATTAAAAAAGACCATAAAATCGAACGAATATTCAAGAACTGGTTCTCTAGAGCTGACACTTATTATGTTAGGGAAGAATATTTAAAAACTTGTCTTAATGCAAATAGAGTTTTTTTTTCAAAAGCTTTCTTAGCTTTGAAATTGCTTAACTTGAAAAATTGAAGAAAATTTTAATATAGAATAGTTTGCTAAAAAAAAGGAACAAAGTCATTTCATAAACTTAGACTTACAAAAGAAAAATTATTTATCTCTAGCATCTACACTTTGCTTTGAGGCTAGACTGATGATGACAAAGTTGATAAACTTGCATTTTTAGTTGAACATCATCAACAGACTATATATTTCAATAGACATATGCATCTATTCGATGAAGTTAAGCATTATTCAGAGATTGGTAAAACAAAAAATGGTGAACTCGCAAGTGATAATAGGTATAGATATAAAGTATCACTGAATGAAATATTTATATTATTGCTCCTAAACCAATAATTCTGAATATTAGAAGATTTTAATGAGTTACATTCGAGATATTAGTAAGACATTCTATACTTAAATATTATGAAAATGTCATAAAATATCATTCGTGAATGAAGAATAATCTTTCTTCCAGCAAACAGATCTTCATATAATGCACTTCATCAAGATTAATTGTAATTGTTTAGTTTCAATCTACAAATAGATTATTTCAAAGACAATCACATAAATTTTAATGAGACTCAACAGTGATAATAAGAGTTTCAGGGCTCAAAGACCTATACAAAATTATATGTTTGGGTTTGTCAAACGACTTTATCTAGATAGTATACATACATACATCTGTCTGTATCAAAAAGTGGTAATGATTATGTGTGCCAATTAATAACTTTAGTTTGAATATGTAAAGATCTGTGAAAACTATTGTCTGGTATATTGAAAACTGTGAAAGTTACCCATAGTTATTTCAAATAGGTAATCCATCTACGTATAAAAATATATTTAATGTTTAAAAAATATGTAATACTATTTTGATTATATTATGTGGTCTGAACTTTTTTACAACGTCGCACAACGTTAAAATGTTAATAATCATTTAGAATTTGTTATCTATAGTCTTAAATTCTAATATTAATTCAATAAAAGATATTCAAATGAAGATTCTCATATATTTTCTTATCATGTCACTCATACATTAATTATAAACAACAGTGATAAAACATCGGGAAAGAAAAAGTTTCAAAAAAGTATTTATTTATCAATATCTGCTATAGCTTGTTATATTGGAAGATTTGTTTCGTCAAAAAGGTTCATATCTTTAGGTAGTTTTTCATAGATGTTCATTAGATTCTTATCTATCGAAGAGCACTAATTATTATTGAATACGATATGGAAAAAAATAAATTAGAATTAATCATCTTGAACGAATTTCTTTATCTACTTCATTTTACGATCGTTCAATTTATTAAGTGATCATTTCCGACGTTTATAAACCAGGTAAAATGTCATCAGAATATTAAATCGATTGTCCATTCATTACATGTAATTTCCATATTAAAATCAGCATCTAGAAATTGATGTTCAATTAATGCTTTTCTTTTTTCATTTCACTATTTTATTCAAAGTTTCTCTGTTTTTGTGTTTATTTTAATATAATATTGACTTGCATTATAATAGAGACAAATCTTCAGTGATTCATATCGATATTTTGAATAAAATTGATTATTTTTAATATCAACTATATTTTTCACTGATCGATGAAATATAAAAAATTTTAAAACTAATTCTTATAATTGAATTTTTCAATCGTTTACTGGTTATTCATTTTTGAGAGAGTCGTCAACAGCAAAAATTAAGTGAAATGCTCAATATAATACAATGAATTTTTCCTATCAACTTGTATCGATGGTCATTTGTAACAAAACGCCGACTATTCCTTCTGTTCTTAAGGCTATTGTCTTCCTAGAATTTCGTATGGTTATAAATGCCTCATTATCTAATCCTTGCTATTAATATCCTATCATTATGGTGTGCATCAATAGAAACATTATTTTCAAAAAAAAATCAATGATCTATGTTTTTTTCTTTACCAATACAACGCTTAATATAAAATGAAATAAGTTTCAATAATGTTGAAACACTATTTGATACAATTTATATAAAAACGCCTTTTATCGTGTTCTAATATAGATTCAATATCGATTTATTTTTACACAATGTAAAATCATGTCGGATTCATATATGAATTTTCAACAGGTGATACATATAATTTTGTTACGCTTTATTATATTTATGTCGAAAATCATTTATATAAATATATTTCAAAACAAAATGATTTCTTAGCTGGAAACTATATTATTAATACTGAAATATCTTTGTCAACTATATGATGTTATTGTAAGAAATAAACAAAGAAATCAATTATTTACTTATTATTTAATGGTCTTCATTGTATTGATTATTTAATAAGAAAAATATTAAATATAAACCATATTTTTATAGACATAATTTCAATAAGTTCACTAAATCAATCTAATCATAAAAAAAGTACAAACAACAGATAATTTAACGAAAGAAGGAGTTTTACAAATATTGATAGTTAATATATGCCAATATATTCAACATTATTTAAAAATTTTGAAAGATTAAGTACACATGATTTATTATCCTACGGACAACTTTCATGTGATACTATATGAACATCAATTCATAGTAATAATACATCATCATTGCCAATTAATGGATGTTCATATACGTTTTGATAATTGAGAAGTAGAATTTGTTTTTTTGTTAATATTAAATATCCAATAGAATAATTACAAATTCTAATTGGACTATATGTTCATTGGTTAACAACAAATTCAAATAATTTTTATAATATGAATTAATACGTTCGTTCATATGTCTTTCTGATTTGTTTGCATTATCAGAACAATTATCAAATTTATATGACCTATATGATGAATATTTTAGTACATTAAATGATGTCATTAATAAGTCAGGGTTTATAAAAATCTGATATGTTACTTGGACAAAAACAACAAAAGAATATAGTGAATTATTTATAAATGAACGTATTAATATTAATAAACAGATGCAATTGTAAGAGAGAAACTTTAGAGAAATATATTTTATTTTACACAATGAAATATATTAAATATTTAGAAATTGATTGACATCAAAGGAGCAGGAAATGCATCACTTTAAAAACGACGAGTAATATTTGAAAATGAGGAAGAGTATACCATTTTGTTTTGTTGTAGATAGTTACGAATGGTTGCTTCCATCATTTCAACTCAATATTTTGATGGATGTAGGCCATCGTACATGTATTGAATTGGTATTGCCGGTTGAATAGTATTAAATTTCTTCTTGGCAGCCAATTCGAGTAGAAATCCATTACATTTTTCAATTTCATTTAAAACTGCCTGGTCTTCAAGTAAAAGCCAGGCCTTTCGTGTGCGCTGTTGAAGAAGCTGTCAAATAATATTTACGCCGGAATATAAACGTCGATTTTTTTCAATTGTATAATCAATACGTTGAACTGTTTGAAAAGTTCCAACTCGATGAATATCATTTGTGCCAAGTATGAAAATTAATTAATTGATACCACGCATAAAAAATCGACCATCAGTTGATTCCAATCAAGATAGAACATCAGCACAATCACCATCCGATTTAAATCTAAGATGCACTTCATTCGTTTCATTTTCTATGTTTTTTACTGATATATTCCGAGCGATTGACGAACCAACTATAGCGGTAATTAATTTATTTCCCTTTTTTGGTCTTGATTATTTCTTTTAATTTCTTTTACATGTTGTTGATGATGACGTACAGATAATGGACCATGTGGAAGACGACGTTCCTTTTTCTTTTGATGCAATTGGTAAAAAAACCGTGTACGATCACAATGTTGTTTATGTAGCTGTTGTTGATGATGTGGAGAATGGTTCAAAGATTGATTTTCAAATACCATTGGTAAGATGAATTGAGACGTAGTAGATGGTTTATCATCAATATGCATTTCATGCATCATTTTTTGCACTTTGACTACCGAAGCTGTGTTTTTTGACATGATATTAAGTTTTTTATATGAAAACGATCACGTTATGTCTTTTCTCCTACAAAAATGACTCTTATGTAGTTTTTAAAACAATCAAACCAATTTATTTCAAAGATTATTTTCATGCTCATTTTCAAGATATTCGTATTTTCCTCAGAGACACTAGATGATACATGCAGATAAAAACAAAAAAAATTGTTTAATTAATGTTTATTTGTTTGACCGCCATACATTTCACTTGCATATGATGCAAGTTTATAAAATTACTGCTTTACCATTTTTCATTGTCGAACAAGAAACAGAAAAAGAGATTGTTGGGCTGCCGAAGATGGTAGGATTCGCTAATACTGGTTATATTGAGTGGCGAGATAGTTCAGATCTGTCAGTATGTGACTTTAAAGGCTACACGATTTGTCGAGATCCACTTGTTGTTCAAAATCGTATAATATGTGTGCTGAACAGCTAATTTCGACCAATCGTACATTCCATTGCCATTTGCAAAACTCTCGCTATAGCTCTCCACATTTCGAGAAGCTTGGACTCGGTTTAATAGCATTCTTTTTGCCATTACTGAGTAATATTCAAATACGGACATGAGATTGAAGAGTAACCGTTACAACAAAAGATATTTGGTTATTTCCATTTTTGAACTATACACACTTAAACTACATATTGATTCTTTATAGATTACGAAAAGAAATACTTTGCCCACATAGTACACATCTTCATTTAAATTGGAGCGGCGTGATGGTACATAGCGCCACTGGAAGAGTCCCAACTCATGTTCACTCTTTGTGTATACAGTAACGTTGACCTTAATTACATCCAATATTAGAATACTTGAATTATTGAAAAGAAAATTTCATCTGTATCTAAGAATTTTAGACGAATAGCATCTAATGATCCTGATTACGCAGATGAAATGTTAACATTACGGTTGCACAATACTATTGTAGTTTAGCGCACTCTACAAATTACAGCTCATTAAATTGAAATAGTGGAACTCAATATTTAGCGAACCCTATAAATTACAACTAGTTTAAAAATATAACTGAAAGTATAAGTTGTATTAAAATTCTTATCAGTAATTTTCTTAAAAATTTGAAATACGCAAATTTGAGACTTAAGACTGTTTTCAATTTTGTGTTCGCAAATGAGAAGGTACGATGGCTTCTATATATTTATCTCTATTTTGACATTTTCTTAAGAAAATTAACTTTCTTTTTTTAGAGGGAATAGAGCTTTATAGCTGTCGATCAAGTGTAATGCATTGATACTTGTCATCAGTAACTTTTTAATATAGCAGTTAGTTTTCATTCTTGCATTCTCTCTCTCTCTCGTCACATTTGAATGCACTACTAACAAAATATCATTGATTCTATTATGCTACGTAGGCAATTTAAGCTTGAAACGCATGTGCGATTATCAACGTTTATTGTTCTGACTAAAGGTACGCCTTATTTTTTTTCGTCACATTTGAATGCACACATAGCAAACCTATATCATGTTTTTTTTTATTACAAAGTATCTGTATTTTCGAATAGACATACACATATTATTTCTAAGCAGTAGACTCTTATATGACTCATAAATTTTCTATCGTTTTTGAATGCGCACTTTTTTTGCTACTATCCGGTAACAATTGCCAAGACGATGGCAAATTTTCACTCAAACTTTATCCTAACCATGAAACAACTTATATTAGTGATGCACAAGTAAGAAAGCAGTCTTGAGTTAACAATAAAATAAATTTTACTAGCCTTTTTTCTTGGCTTCTTCACGAACTAGAGGTGTTATTTTTGCTCTTCGTTTCTAGGAATGCGGAATAAATAATTTCTAACATAAAAATAGAAGCAACATGTATAGAAATTTGGCATGCTGAAACATTACGTGAAAATACAGTATCAAATGTGTTCTTGTTTCTTGAAACGGAAAGCTCAAAAGCGAACGTAGACACCCATATTGTGCACAGTACGGTATTAAATTTGAAATAATTGTAAACATCCTGACGAAAAAATGTTCATAGATATTTATGTTATCGAATGATTGATGTGTAAGAACAAAAATAAGTTAGTTTCGACAGCCATACAATTCATAATAGACATTGTAAATGAAAACATTGATACTTGGACACAAAGTGCTATCTTTGGCCGTAGAGAAAAAACGTATTCAGTAATAAAGTGCGGGAAGAAATATTTTACAAAAAGATTTAGACAATGGCATTTTTCTTATTCATTAGCATAACCTCAAGGAGACGCATTTAGAGGGGTATCTCAAAACGACTTTTGCAGAGAATTTTCAGTGTTTTAGAGTCAATAAATGTTCCGTAGTAGTGTTGGAATTAACTTTATACAATGCTCTCTTCTATATATATTGACGTCACTAGTGTGACGAACTGAAGAAAGAAATACTAATGAGGCTTAACTGATTATTGCTTAATGCGATCGCATCATATCATCACTCGGATCTTTTATAGAAAGAGTATTTATTTAAATATGCCTTTCTGAGCGAAAAAAGAAGAGAAATGGCAAAAGCAGGAGATAGAAGAGGAAGAGCGACATAAATATCTATCGTCAATTCAAAGATCCAAAATGATTCCACGTTTTACTTCTATTTTTTCGATATATTGCGTGTGATCGAGCTGAAATATTCGTAAGAGAGCGTCCATGAGGGCATTGAGTATTTGAAGCACTCGATCGGTTTGTGGAAGCTCTCCTAAGAATACTGCATATTGTATAATTTGAGTCTAAAGTACACGAAACATCCATCGAGTAACATTTTATATCCTTTGATTCTAAGTTTTTCAAAATTAATTCGACGTCATTGTCGATTAAAAATGAAATTGATACATATTACTGCATAGAATATTTAGGTAATTTATCCCTCTCTCGTCAATCCCAATGATTACGCAATCGCAACTGCTCCACTCCATACTGTCTTC